TTACCTATGCCGCCATCTTGGTTATTCCCTGCTCAACTTTTTAATCTTTTTTAGCTTTAGATCTTTCTTCTAGAACAAACTGTACAAAACATACTTGAAGTATAATGTGACTCTGTGAAGGTAACATGGTCCTATAGAATTTTTAAAACATTTTTAAAATGACAGTTGACATACAACCTTAGGTTCATTTCAGGGGTACACCCCAATGATTAGACTTTATATAATGGACCAAGAAATCATGCAATTAATCTCATACTCATCTGACACCATACACCATTATTATAATATTACTTGAGGCTCAGTGAACCAAATACATGCACTTGGGGTGGGTCCCTCAGTCTGCACCGTGGCCTCTCCGATTCCGGGACCCCTTGAGGGATGTCCAACTGACAGTTTAGGCCCACTTAAGTACTGCCATGGAGGCTCCCACCACCCCCCTGTGCTCGGCAGCTGTTAGCCTGGCTTTTAGATGAGCGGCGCTCCCCCTGTGGGAGCCCACTGACCACCACCTGTGGATAGCTCCTGCCATGAGCATCTGCCCCCGGTGGTCAGTGTGTGTCATAGCGACCAGTTGTTCTGCCGTTTGGTCCATTTGCATATTAGCCTTTTATTATATAGGATTGACTCAATGCTCTACTTTACTGTGTTATGATTATTCTTTCGTTTTTTTTTCATATAGTTTTACTGATTTCAGAGAGGAAGGGAGGAGAGAAAGAGAATGATCAATGATGACAGAGAATCATGGATTGGATGCCTCCTGCACGCACCCTACTGGGGATCAAGACTGTAACACGCGCATGTGCCATGACTTGGAATCGAATCAACATCTCCTGGTTCCTAGGTTTAAGCTAAACAACTGAGCCAGGCTGGCTAGGCTCTTTGCTCTTCTTTTCTTCCCTTCTTTTCTTTTATTTTCCTTTGTTTTGTTTTCTTTTTTTCTTAATTCAAACTTTGTAGTTGGTTCAATTTTCTTTTTGTCCTGACAACACCAACTTCTTTGTGATCATCCTAGAAGGAACTCAGAAACCATAGAACAAGCCACCTCATGCAAATAATGTGCAAGTAATATGCTTTACCTTAAGGAGCTGGCAGAGGAACAAAGCTAATGTCAGTTTTCAGGTGGGCTTCTTAACAGCGGTCTTGCTCCTCAAATGCTGGTGAGAGAGGCAAGACCAAGATATTCAGGGACAGACAGATACCTGGGATAGCTGATCAGGCAAACAGGAAGCAAAGAGACAGGTGAAACAGCAAGTAGGATTCCTGAGGTCTCATGACGTCACTTATAGAATGATCTCTCCCTTCCCCAAACCTCAGCCATGCTCTTCGAAAGAGCTGTAAAGTTTTTATGCTGAACTCACTTCAGTCCACAAAGTCCAAATTCCTCCCTAAGTTCAGACTCCATCCCCAATGCTTCCTCTTCCTCCTCCCATTCATCTGTTTCTTACCTGTTTTTCTTGCTCTGAAAGCAAAGGACTGTTCTTAGCTCCTTTCCTCTGTGACCGGTCTCTGCTTCCACCTGTCACCTGCAGAAGAAAGAAAATGGCCATGATACACCTGTTCCCGGGAGTCCATGTACCACGAATGTGTCCAGAAAAACAAGGTTCCCCTGACTCACACCCCAGAAACCAGTCCCGTGAGACAGGTGGTGGGGAGGAATGAGAGAGGTTTATTCAGGTGCCGGCACCCTGAGAAGATGGTGGAAGCTCGTTCCAAACCTATCTGCACATCTCAGTGGAGGCAGAGGCTTTTATAAAGGAGGGAGAGGGCAAACAGAGCAAAGAGGTCAGGGGGCGGGGCTTGAGAAGTTCTCTACTTGCCGACAGGCACAGTCCAATCTGATAAGGATCTTGCAAGTGGTCAGGTGACAATCCAGTGTGCCTCATCCTAGCCTTTGTCCTCCAGGTTCTAAGGTTGAAGGTCATCACATCTCCCAGAACTGGGATGGTCAGAGTTCATATCTTGTAAAATTAGCTCCTAGGATTTTTATACAAACATGCTGTTTGCCTACAAGCTTCATTATTAGCCCAGTCTGCATTTACAGGAACAATGTGGAAATAATGGTGAGGTGAGTG